CCCTAGCCCCGCCGCGCTCGGCAGACAGCAGGGACTCGTGCTCAGCGGAGGGCGGCTTGTGCTTGAGGCTGTTCCAGCTGGAGCGGCGGCTGGCCCAGGCCCCGCTGCGGCCCCACGGCCCGTAGTAGGAGCTCCGGGAGCTGGACTGGGAGGAAGCCGCGGGCTCCAGTCAGGCCAGCCCCGCGCCTGCCACATGCCCGCAGCTGTGGCGAGGGCTGCCCGCAATGGCTGAGGTCCTAGGGGCGCCTGCCTCAGCAGGGGGTGATGGGACAGCGGGCCCTGGGCCCCTCCGCACGCTCTAAGGGCTGTGCACATGCAGGTATATGTCCTCCTCGGGAAAGCACAGCACCCAGGATACTCGTTATAGCTACAGGTGAGGACACTGCCTCAGAGAGGGCTACAACGAGCCCGTGGTCACACAGCAGACACACTAGGTTCTGCCTGAGCCCGAAGCTTGGTTCTTCACGCTCACGTTGCTGCTAAGACCTCCCGGTTGTCCATGCCAGGCCCAGGCAGAGTCCTTCACTCATCCATTCCCTGCCAGGTGCCCTTCCAGCACTGGGCACCCAGGGACACACACATGGCCCCTGGCTGGTTTTCAGCATTAAGCCTGAGCACCCTGATGGTGGACACAGCTCCCCAGGGTCCCTCTGCACACCCCAGCAGGGAGCACCCATCGGGGCACCCCACAAAGACTCACCAGGGAGCGCTGGTCGTAGTTCACCCTCCCCAGGGACATGACGCTGCTCTTGCGAGAGCCCAGGGCCACCAGCAGGGGGTCTGGCTGCAGTGAGAGGTGGGGGGCCGGTGCTGCAGCCCCAGCGGGGCCCAGGTGTCCACCAAGTGGGAGGTTGGGGTCCAGGTGCCCATTGGGGGTCATAGGCATTGGACAGAGCTTGGGATCTGCAGGGGTGAGGTAGAGACAGGCAGGGACAGGAGGCAGACAGGACGGGACAGTAGCAAAGGGCGTCATGAGAAAGGCACACGGAGTCTTCTGGGGGGCCCTGTCCTGTCCCTGCAGCTGGCCTGCAGGCTCGCAGCTGTAGCTCTGGACAGCAGGGCCCTTGCCTTGCCTGCCTGGGACTCTCTCTCCATGTCCAGCCCAGCCACCAACACAGGCATGACACAGGGCTTGGGGGGAGGGGTTTGTTCCGAGCTTCCAGGGGGCCAACGGGGGACCCGAGGCTCTTCCCGACAGACCTCGCCTTGTGGAGGGACGAGGGTGGGTGCGCTGCCCTGTGGCAAGAATTCAGGACCATGTGGCTGACTTTGGGGGGTTGGCGATGCTGACTGGAAGCGGCAGACCACAGAGAAGGGGCAGTCCCAGAGCCTGAGCTTCGGGGGAGCCAGAGGCCACGCCCTTCACCCCATCTCCGGCAGGCCGAGCGCCCCGGTGCCCAGTGGAGGCCCGTTTACCTCCGCCGCCGCCGTCTAGGCCCTCCTGAAGTTTGTCAAACTCTTCCATGTTGGACGAGCTCTGGTCCTCGTCCGAGTAGGAGCGGTTGGCGTCGCCCTGGGAGACCACCCCTCATGTCGGAACGAAGGTCAGCTCAGTCTTTCCCTCCCTCCTGACATCTCCAGTGCATGTTTTCACCCGCATTTTACGGATGGGGAAACAGTCTTGGAAAAGGGACGTGAGAAGCCAACGCGGCCCAAAGCCACACACCACATCCGCCTGCCTTGGAGTACCCCGAGTCTTGGAGAATGGGGGTCCGGGGCCCAGAATCCCAGCTCCTGGGGCTTTAGAATCTGAGCTGGCCAGGCCTTGTCCCACAGCTCTGGGGGCCGGGCAGGGTCCCAGACGCAGCCTGGCCTGCTGGCCACATCACCGAAACCCTCCTTTGGGACCTGCTGCCTGTGGACGCCTGGATGCAGCCGCCCCCCCATCCGGTCCCGTCCAGCGCGTGTCGCCCCAGGGGTGTTCTTCTGCCAGGGCTGCAGTCACCTCCGCCTGGAAGCCCTCCACCAGGATGGCCACCAGCAGGTTGAAGAGCACATAGTTGCCAAAGGTCATGAGGGCCACAAAGTAGAGGGAGGCCCACGGGGAAGTGGAGGCCATGCCGTTGTAGAGGACAACATTCCAGTCCTCCTGGGTGAGGATCTGTGGGGGCAGGGGGCTCGGCTCAGTCTCGGGGCACCACGCGTCCCCGCCCCAGACCTGCTGCGGCCGGCCCCACCTGCAGCACCTGTCGCCGCTCCGGCAGCCCGCGAAGCCCGGACTATTATGCTTCGGCTGGGGGCTCACGAGCGCGGCCCCAGCTCGCCCAACCCCCTCCGGAGGCGGAATCACACACTCGCGACACCCTCCCCCGGGCTGCTGCTCCCGCCTGGCTGCCCCACCTCCCCAGCCCCCCAAACCTGGACTGAGCCCACCGCCCTTCGACCCCACCGCCTACAATGTGTGACAGCACCCACATCCGGCCACACCCACGTGGCTCGTGAGAACAGTGTGAGAAGAACGCTGCACTAGAGGCTGGGGTTCGGGGCCTCCCGGGCAGGCACCCTGAAGAGCGACGCCGGGTGTAGGCCCGGGAGAGCCCCCCTGCCCCCCAAGGCTCACCTGGAAGACGGTGACGATGGCCCACAGCAGGGAGTCAAAGTTCTTCCTGTCGGGGACCGTGTCTCCCGTGTCCGTGCGGAGGCTGAATTTGCAGCCGAAGATGTGCATCCCGAGGATGCTGGGGGGGAGCGGGAGGCTCAGGGACCCTCACAGGCCGCGCTCTCACCACCCACCTCATGTCGGCCTCAGAACAATCCGGTAAGACATGGGGAGGGTGTGAGCTGCAATGCTTCCGTTTTGCAGGTGTGACCACTGAGGGTCAGCGCCGCGGGGTACCGGGTGATGCTGGGACTCACACCCCAGTCCAGGGTGTTCCCTGATCTCCACCGGCCACGTGCCCCCAGCTCCTGCCCATGGTGTGGCTCTGGACTGGCAGGGCTCACCTGAAGATGAAGATGAAGAGCATGAGCAGCATGCAGAAGGTGGCCACGTTGTCCATGGTCTTCATGAGCACCACCAGCTGGCGCCGCAGCGCGGGCATGAAGCGCACCAGCTTCAGCACCCGCAGCAGCCGGAAGGTCCGCAGCACTGACAGGCCGCCGTCCGCCTGCCCCACGATCTCCCAGATGCTGCACAGAGCGGGCAGGTGGGTGAGAGGGGAGAGGCAGAGGGGGCCCGTGGGAGGCCAGGAGGAGCGGAGGGCAGAGGAAATGGGAGGGGGGGCAGAGAGGTGCAGAACATTCATCCACCCATCCATCCATCATCCACCCATCCACCATCCACCCACTCATCCATCCACCCATCCACCCACCCACCCA